TATACCTTTGTTGTCAATGGTATGCCCAAGGAAGCTGAGTGATTCAACTCCTATTTCACACTTCTGTAAGTTGACTGTGATGCCATGTTTTTTAAGTCTTTCGAATGCGAGGTCCAAATGTTTAAGGTAGTTTCCTTATCTGGACTCGCAATTAGACAGTCATCGATGTAGACATGAACAAAATTCAACCACGGAAGACATCATCCATAAAGCGTTGGAATGTTTGTGCTGCATTCCGAAGACCAAATGGCATGCGCAGGAATTCAAACAGGCCAAAAGGAGTAATAATGGCTGTTTTCGCGATATCTTCTGCTGCCATAGGTATCTGGTTGTACGCTTTGACCAAGTCGATTTTGAGAAAATGTTCATTCCACATAAGGTTGCAGTCAAATCGTAAACGTGAGGTATCGGGTAGCAGTCCGGAGTTGTTTTGGCGTTAAGCCTTCGGTAATCACCGGTTGGACGCCAGTCGTTGCTATCCCTTTTGGGAATGTGTGCAATGGCGATGCCCAAGGGCTGTTTGATGGTCTAATAACGCCCAGTTCGAGCATGTGGTCGAATTCACTCTTCGCCGTTTTGAGCTTATCGAGGGCTAGACGGCGCCCTTTGGATGCCACAGGTGGACCTGTGGTTGCCACGTGATACATAACATTGCTGGTTATGCACGGAAGATTGTGCTTCGGTTGTCGCAACTCTGGATATTTCTCCAAAACTGCTTGGTAGGACGCGTCGCCTGATTGTTTGGTTCCAACGATGGCTAAACTCGGACCTACATAGGTTGTGCCGCCATTAGATAGATTTTTGTTGTTATCTATCGGTCGTAGACGGCGAGCATCTACGAGTAGATCGTAATGGTTTAGCAAATCTATGCCAATGATGGGCATAGAGACGTCAACCAGGAGGAAGATCCAGTGGATAGGTTTATGTAAACCTAAGTTGAGGTAGGCATACCGTCTCCCGAATGTCGCGATTGCCTTGTCGTTGGCTGCTTGAAGATTGAAGGATGGGTCATGATGACGCTCCTTTGTTGGTGCGGGAAGAACGCTGACTTCTGCACCGGTGTCGAAGAGGTAGCGAACTTTCTTTTTAATATCCATGACGTAGGGCAAACGGTTGTTTCTGCCGGCTACGGTTGCTGTGAATGCGTGCCGGCGTGACCGTTTCCCGAGTTTGCGTCCTTGTTAAAACTGCATGGTTTCCACATTTTCTGGCCCCTCTCCTTAAGTATGATGAAACCAGCACCATTCAAGGTTTTCAACCCTGTTGGGTTTAGTTTTGGAGCAACCACACGAGTTGCTACGACGAACTAAGATGCGTTTCTGTGGAGTTCTACGTGAACTAGGACTTCGAGATCATAGCAACTGTTTAACAGAGTTGCACAGCTCTGTCACCTCTGAATCCTGGCTCTCTGGTTTGTCGCAGACACAATATACATTGGAGACGGGTGTGCTGGATATCTCCAGTATTTTATCTGCCGAGGCTGCCAGGTCGTCGAGTGGGACTGACTACAGTGTCACCAACACGGTTTGCACCGGTTGTGGTAGTTTCGAGAGAAATAGTCATTGGAAGAAGCCATCGTCGAATGTTCGTGCGCCGATCACTTCTGGCACGCATGCGAGGACTTCAGTAGCTGAGTGGCTGCCTAGCTTGATGTTACGAAGCAATTCGTCTAGGCGCTGGCAATCTGTGAGATCGCTTTTCCTCAAGAGTGTGGCCCTAAGAAGTGCGTAGGGATCACCTGCCTCAGGATTAAACATGTGTGCTGTAACATGTCTATTTAATTCCCGCGGTAGTGACCGTATGACGGCGAGAGATCGAGATTGAGGATCTGAGACGCCCTGCTCTCGAAAATCTGCCTCGGCATACAGAAACCATGTTTCTGCATTTTCTGGCCAATATGGCACGAGTTGGGTCATGTTCGCAGTCGGCTCAATACGAATAGGCTTGGGAGTGTGGTCGGACATGAGAAAGTGTAGTAAATTGATATATAAATGTTATCGAAATGGAGACAATATGTAAATATAACATGGAATAGGCTCACCAATTCAATACCTGTTATTGGTCGGGATATGTGATCATATAGGTCTCACCAATTTGGGGTTTGTCCTGGTGCGAACTTGACAGATGCAAAGACCAATCACTCATTATTCGGACTTGCTATTTACCCACGAGTACGAGACCAAGGAAGAACACAATAGCGTAGTCGGATGGAATAGTATATTTGGATGGTTGTGACAAGATACCGATGCATTCCAACTAACCGCCTACAGAGTCGGATACGAGCAGTGCAACGTAACACGACAGCGTACCAAATGGCTAGGATGCTTCACCGGGTGCCTTCAACTTAGTGAGTCCAGTTAAACTATCAAGGTCAGCATCAATGTCGAAAGTCGTCAAACCCTCGGCTACTGATGTTAGGGAAGTGTGTGACTCTACAAGGCTGCAAAGTATTATGTATATACTTATATTTTGTTGTTATTGCAATATATATTATGCTGCGAATTCGAAATTGTTCCGCAAATTGTTTGGAATGAAATGAATTGTTATTGTTATTACCACTCAGGACTAGGAAAGTTGTAGTGCACCCTCCTAGTGACAAAATGTAACTAGGGTCTAAATAAATAGTTTAAATTAAATTAACTAAATAAATCTCTGGCTTGCCTCCGGATGCTTAGGGTGTTTTATGTTTTGCTTTGACGAGCATGCATCCTAGCAGGCTTGGACGCCACTTTGCGCTCCGTTGTGCCGGTTACCACGCGCTTACTGCGAGTCCCTAGTTCAGCCCTACAGGTCAGATAAATTGATTAAACTTTTCCTTCATTCACTACTATTACATTTACTTTAATTAAATACATAGCTCCTTCAAATACATCGCGTATCGGTTCTTTTGATTTGTGTTTTGTTATCAGTACTTACACGCTAGGCAAAGTACTGGTTAAGTAGATACCAGAGCACACCAAGTTAAGTAGGGTTGATCAAACGTTACGGAATCGTAATAAACACCCTTGAAAAGTCTTGTGGATATTTTGAGATGTATCAACGTGATGAAACCTGTAAACTGGCTCCTCCTATGTCAAACTCTTGTAATGTGAGAATAAAACATTCATTTACCTATTTATTTAAGCCTTTTATATAGAAGTGGTTTAATCTGCTGTCTTGTGCCTCTCTTTATATTCTCCTCCTGTTATATTGCCTATACTATGATTTTCCGCATGTTTATATCCCATTCAGTCCAAAAAACCCAGTATTTGAGAAGCCATTATGCACCTCAGTTCCAGATAGAACTGTATACCACTTTAGTCCTCCATCACAACCACTGGGTCTTAAAGGTTCCGCGATGTGTCAGAATGCGTTCAGTTCAGGTATATGTTAGGTCCAGTACCTGTTGCTAGTAATTCAGTTGACAACGACGCGTACTGAATGGACCAAAACATGAATATTTTTGCGAACGATGTGTTTTATGCGCGCTTTGAGCAGCAAACGGAAATCAAAAGAAGCGTGAGATGCGCAACGCCTGAAGAAAGTGTATGGAATAATCCTAGGCATTCCCGATCCGGACAAACATCCCATAGGTGTACAATGCCTAACAATTGGGTGATATGTTCCAGGGAGGAAACCGAGGTTACTACACCTTTCTACGAATAGGATCGACATCCGGCCATCCCTAGTGCGTAACGCAGCTACGACAGAAGGATAGGTTCAAATGGTGGAATAGAAGAAGCTTTCCTTTAACTGGCTTCCATGTCTAAAACTCGTGGTTGTTAACCTGTGTGCAAGTAAAGAGAGAGGAAAAAGTGTTGGTTAAAATGTGAAAATTCGGTTAGTTCCAAGCACATTCCAGTTACATGTCAAATAAGTGGGCAGTCGGCGTTTAGAGAATTCGCACAAAGTAGCCTTGGTCACGTTTGTAGGAAGAGCATTCCAGGGTGTTACAACTCTTGTAGGGTAGAAGTTGTGCCTGACATCTAACCTTCTGTGTTCCAGGCTTAGTCTCTGTATATATCCTCTACGACTAGTGCAACAGCTAAGATTCAACAAGTGACGGAATGGGTGTCCAGAGGTGCTCAGGATACTGTGAGTCATAATCAAGTCTCCTCTTTGCCCCCTATATTGCAGGGAATGCAGATCCAATGCAACCAGCCGTTTTTCGTGTTTTAGACCTGAATCCTCAAACAGATTTGGTCGAGCGACTCAGAATCCGCTTTAAGCTTCAGTCACCCTTCTTCAGAGGAGGGGGAAGACAATAGTCCTTAACTCCAGATGATGTCGTATGAGATTGTTGAAAATTTGGCGGAGACATCTGCTGTCGAATTCGCCGAAAATTCGTCTAAGAGTTACTGGCGTCACGTCTGCGTAAATGAACCTCTGCCACAGTTGGCATTGGGTTTGAAGTCTTGATGGACTAAATTGCTTAAATCCTTCTCCGTCAGTGACGCTTCAAGCTGCATACTATTGAGGTCATATGATTCACATGCAAAGCGCTTTACGTTTCTCACCTTGCATTTATCATCATTAAATGCTAGCCTGTTGCTGACCCCCAGGTTCTGAAGTTGAGTTAAGTCTTCCTGTGGATAGACGCTGCCCCCACAGCCTTTGATTTCTTTCCATAGTTCGGCAAAAAGAAGGATTTCGGAAGAAACCTTTTAAGGCAAGTCAGTCATGTATATTAGATCTACTGCATCGAAATCCACTTAAGACCTGGAGCCGTTCCGCAAGACCTTGAGGAAGGCAGAAAGAGATTATCTGATTTATGCAAAATCATAATACATGTACTGGATATATTTGACTGAATGTCCATATCTCATGTCGTAATATGGATCCATCGAATACTCAGACGAGCACATGGTTTTAGCAACTCTTAATCAGTTCTTTGAAGCGAATTTAGACGTATTTTAACTATACTTTACAAGCTTCAATGTGACTGTCCATCTCTCAGTCTTTATTGCTGAAAATTAAATAAAAATGTCAACGTTGTTTGCATGCATCAGTAACATGTGGAGTTCAGATTGGCGGATATGAAAATATGTTCGAAAATTTTAGTTTCTGACTGGGTTTCATGCCAGCGAGGTGTATGCAAACCAAAAGAAAGTGTTTTAGAACTTTATAAAAATGGAGATAGTGTGTACATCAACATATTCTATTCATCATCGAATGCCAGCAGGCGATTTAAGGTGATGGCTTTCATCTGTGATGATGAACTAAATCTATTATTTTGTAGATCTCAGCAAACATAGAAAGACTATTCACTGGTCATGTTAAAGAAGGAAACCTTACGTTGCGGCTGAAAAACCCTCCGAAAGATGTAATGATCCAGCAGGTATATTCGTTGGTTAATACATTATTTTCTAATATCCAGTTATTGACTTTCCCATTCGTGCCTGTTTATTTCGTACGACTAGAATTTCTTTTCGTCACAACTTTTTATATACTGTACAGCACTTCCAATACCGTAATTCTTCAGAAAATGATTTTCAGCTGATGCGTATGAGATGAACTGTTATGAGGATTTACTTGCGTTACCACAAAACTGCCTAGATTTCCAGTCTGTATTTCTAAGTCCTGGTGTAATGGTGGTTGGAGTACCCGTCGGGTGTATTTGGGCATCGCCTTTCCCAATGATGATAATACTTATCGTGTTTCTCGGAAATTTGCGACCTGAAATTCCTCAAAACTAGTTTAGACGTCAGTGTGCTCTTCAAATCGCAGTTCACTCAAGAAATGTGTTTAATTACATGTTGCATCTATACATTTGCTTGGGCAAAAGTTATACAAGTGGATTCGGTATAACGTCTTCCTTATTTGAGAACACCGTCCTACTGATAGCCAGAAGATACAGATGTCTATTTAAGTCGATTAGCTGCTGTTTCCACTCATTTTTTCCTGTATTGCGGGCTCTCTGTACTTCATTAACTCGACAATAGGTTACTTTTTTCCTGAAAAGCACCTTCTGTATGCACAAAGTTGGAATAGTCGAATTAGAAAAACCACTAGTCTAGGGATATGCTTACTGTTGCAGTCTTAGGCTGTATAGTGCTCCTAATGGATTGTCACTCAGAGCCATATTGTAACCCGTCGGTGTTAACAAACCTAGAATCAGCGCCTAAAGACAACCATGCGATCTGCATGGTTTTCTACTTTCTTCATCTTGCGCCTCACTGCCCTTTTACTCGATGTACTGATATGAGGTGTGGCAACTAGGACCATTACGCAGTAATGCCTGATCCTAGGTTGATCTGGATGGATGGGCTTAAATGTGATTGGATAACTCCTACGGCTTAACGCTGTATACTGTAAGTCGTCGCTTTTGCAAAGCTGTTGAATATGTTTGGCTTGTGGTCAGCTGTTTGGCATCATATTTGCAAATCGTCTCAATGTTAGCGTTTGCTCTGTTGTGAACTATTGTGAACATACAGCTGACGGGTCCCAAATAGGACGAAATGCTCATCCTGGATTCCACTGCTAACCACGATCCATCATTAACATAATTAGAACGCTGTCAATATCGATGCATCTGCACAGGAGCCCATATGCTATTAGAGACCGATCAATTCGGTCCAATCAACGACGGTATAATATAAAAACAATTATACTAAAAACTATACCCGTCGCACAAGAAGTAGCTATCGTGGCTCGGTGGTGTGGTGGATAAGGCGCTGGCGTTTGAAGCGATCGCTCCCGAGTCCGAATCGCGGTGGGAACAACATTCACTGGGAAGCAGGTACATCCAGCTGACGAGTCCCAAATAGGACGAAATGCTCATCCTGGATTCCACTACTAGCCACGATCTATCGTTGACATAAATGAAAGTAACTTCTTTCCACGAACACTGAAACATTTTATGTGCCACTATCACGAAGAACACACGAGTTATAACCTGGGAGTTCAGTCACATTTATATGACAAATGAATTTAAATTCAAAAAGCACGTAATGCAGTGAGGAGTGGTCATGATGTCTATTCTCTTAAAATAAACAAATACCTGATTATAAAATGCCCGTATTTACTATTTTAAATTCTCCATATGATGACTTCAGTACAGATATTGAAGGTCAATAAGCTGTCGGTAATCGTGGCTCACGTGTTTTTTATGATTTCAGCAGTGTAGCTGCGTAGGCTTCTATTCACTGCGTGATGACTCAGTTGTAAATTGGTAGATTGAAACGTAATTTTATTTACTGAAGTTAAATAAAGTGTGTTCTTATCGAGTTTTAGAATTTGGAATAATGTAAGCACCATAATCTTGTAGACTTACTGACGTTTATTTGTTTTGTTTTTATCATGTAATTAGGCTGAACCTTCGGATTTGCTGAGACTAATTGGAATTTTGGATGTTATCAGATCCGGCAAGGAACTGCCCAATCGGTTTTTCGATTGCAAATATGCTTCAAGCCAAGTTTGTTCTTCTTTAATTCAACAATGCATTTAGGTTAGGAATGGTAGTCAACGGCGACTGTGTATAACAAGGCGAGAAGATTATCCTTTCAGTCAAGGATTTAGTACTTTCCTGCACGAAATATCCGCTAAAAATTTAAGATTACGTCAGTTTGATGCAAGATTACTCAAGCTGTTTAACTTACGTTCCCTTGATTTGAGCGCAAATTATGTAGAAAAAGTACCACAGGGAATACAAGACTTGAATTTAGTTCAACTTTGTCTAAGTAACAATCATATCACAAATTGGCCGTGTATTACTGAAAACTCGCCGCTAACCAAAACCTTGGAACTTATTGATTTATCACATAACAAACTAGTCTGGTTGCCAGATGATTTCTGGCTTCTAGCAAATCTCAAGAGTGTCAACCTTTCAAGTAATTTTTCAGTCCTTATGTTGAGTGTTTATAAGTGAGATCCGTCCTGACATTTTGAGTGTTTCCTTTTCCAAGAGATGGGAAATCACATCACTTGTCTATGTGACCATATCTGTTCTATGTGAAGTAGGTGTAGATGACGAAATACCTCCTTATGCTCGTTTATGATCTGTAGCTGCTATCTTCACGTGGTACTTGAGGCTACATATCACAATCACCAAACGAGCTATGCTATTGAAACGCTTATTTCCTGAGATTGGTCATACTAAAATGGTCTGTCGGGTAGTGGTGCAACTAAAAGAAGCTATCGTTATAACGTGAATTGCCACGCTATGATGGGGGTATAAGGTCGAAGTTGTACTGCTGGCTGGATAGCTGCATTACGGGGAAGCAGCCCACTACGGTGTCGATAGGAAGAAGTGTTGAGTATCCTAAAAACTGTCAGCACTCAACTCCCCTCAGATCCTTACCAACCTTCAACATCTCTACCCTCTAATGCTTCTTGACATTTCTCGGCTAACAGCCCTAAGTCATCAGCAATTTGTTCCAGCTACGCATCCTTTGATAATGATTTGAGTTCAAATAAAACCATCCCTGGACTCCTGAAATCGCGCTTAAAAATAGATATTGTAGGTTTCAGTGTCTGCATGTTTAATTCAGACTTAGAGTTATAGACAAAAAGACAAGTCGGTTGGTGATGTTAGGAACCTTCATAGACTCAAATGTCTGAAACATGTATTACACAGCCTAGTCACATGTGTGTCACTCTGTGTTATATCATGGTTTACATAACCAAGTATATAGATTATTCAGTTGGGGAGTTCTACTGAAATTTATGAATTTACTACATCCTGGTTTCAATAGATTTTTTACTTGCTTTAAGTTTGTATCAGGAAAGAAAACTTTTCTACGCTACTGGTGTGGTGGCACGACAACATGACCTATGCTGCAAATGTAGCGGTGGTCCACCACCTGAAGCCTTCTCATTTCCCCAATTTTTGTTGACTATGTTCCACTGCCACATAGTAGGACAGTCAGGACTGAAATGCAGTATTCTGAGCCGTGAATAGGCAATCGAATACCATGGCAGCGCCATGCATAGTGCAAGCTAGCAAAGCTCAGTCGAGCTTTATGTATCCATGCCAAATTTCGTCAATCACTAACCCAGATCTAGCAAAACTTCCGAGGTAAGCGAAGAGGTCAGCGTACTCAACCACTTTACTCTCTACTACTAGACGCCACCAACACTAACCAGTCCTTGAGCAACAATTTAAATTTAGCTAAGGCCTCAATAAATCTCAGTATACATTCCTGACGGCTCTTATATATGCTTAGTTTCATTGAAGCCTTAGCTATAGGAAATTTTAAATCCCGCTTGTGTTTTTCAAAACAATTCGTCCGTACCTGAAATCTTCTGCGGTAATCTTTATTTTTTTATCATACCAAGGATGGTGTGAAAATACATTGTCCATTCTTAGCATTCTTTACTTTTCAATTCTTGTATTTTCCTAATTTAATTTGAATTTACATGATAAAAAACGCACCCCACACGCTCCCGAATCGCCACTCAAGGTATCCAGTCGACTTCGTCTTGTCATTGTCTTCAATTAATAAGACTATGTCACCTGCGTTCTCTAGGTTTACTAATAATTCTGTCAAAAGGTCAACCCCTGTCGAGTCAGATGGAGAGAGACAGGCCTCCATAAGCGCGTTCACTGAAAATCAAATAAGAATAAAGAGTAACCACTATTGAAAAGCACTACTCGCCTTATATAATCATAGGCTCTAACACTTATTTGGGTGTTGGAGTACAGGATGATGTGCTTATCCGAAACCCTTTTCAGTGACGTGCTGTCATGAGGTTTCTTGGTTTACAGAGTCGAATGCCGTCTTCAAGCGGGAAAATACAGCCAGCGTCTGTTCTAGAAGCTGGCGAAAGGTGAATATCTGGTCGGTATGCCCAAGATTATGTTTGAAACCTACCTGGTTTTGCCGAGTTTGCTGTTTCTTAGCTTTACTTAGGCGTCTAATAATTATAGAATCGGGAATCTCGGACAGTCTTCCCGTTAGGCGTTACAGGTTGTACTTTTTCATGGTATTCATGAAGTGTGAATGGTTCATAATATTCGCATTAGTTGTCTATTATATATGTGGAACACTGCATAGTGTTTGGCAAGGGAGTTGCATCTGTACTTGTTTGTGGAACTCCGGGTTCTGAATCACTATTGTATTAAAGGATGGTTTTCTGATTGTATTGAGGTTTGAACTTCACTTGCTAGTGATTGAGTATATATATGAACTACAAATAGTAAATTCATAGTTAAGATTACGGGAACATGGTTTAGTCGATTAACTTGTCCATCACTGTTCTAGCTTAGTGATGATCAGAAAAATGCAGTTATTCTGATTGGCGAGTTTTAACCGGTACATTATTAGTGTAGACTTTTTTCGCTGAATGCCTTTCCATCCAGTTCGATAGTATTCCAGTTAACTTTGTTTTTGTTTCTTGCGTTTCTGTAATAGATAACAGATTGCGTGGCGTGCCAGCCGCTTATCTGCACAAGCTACAGCGTCTGTGTAAAGTTATTTTGAATGACAACCAACTGGATTCCTTACCTTTAGTATTGACAGCTCACCGCCTAACTCAACTATCTGTTTACAATAATTCTTTTCTACCTCATGATATGACAGTAAAATCAAGTGGTGTTGCTCCAACTCTCCTGAACTGTGCGTCTTCAAATCTTCTTCGAAGTAACTGGTGGGTTAGTTTCGATGTATAATTCTATTTTGTCATTTACTTTCTCATATAATAGTTGAAACTTACTGAGGTGTTCTTGTAGCCATTTGGCTATTGGTTTCTAGCAATTATCAGCTGTCGCTCAGTGGTTTAGGGAGACGGCTATCAACCAGTGGGTCACGGATCTGAATCCCGCTCAACCTAACGAGGTTCGGTCAGCGAGGTAGTATCACTAGCCCTTACAATCGATGTGGCTCATTGCCTACTGCACGGGTATGCACAAGGTGACTGAGTGCGTTCCATACCAATCATTTCCTAATAGGTTGATGTCTACAGCTTGCATCATCGTCAAAGTCATGTAATTACTTGAAGCTAGATGCACATCAGCTCTGCTTTCTGTTACATAGGTTTTTAGTTCAGTTATTAGAAGGTTTGCATTTGCCTAAGAAAGTCATTGTTTCTCAAAAAATCGCACATACTCAGCACCTGATCTGAACATCCTGCCTAAAAGTGTGTTGAGTTTACCTCGCACTGATCAAGTCCATTTTTAAGAGCTAGAACGTCTTTTCTTTAAAGTTATGAAACAAAACATTGATCAGCAGGCGATGACTGCTGTCATATTTCTGACAACTGCACTTTGAAGGTAGATTTCTTTAAGTTGTGCTGGTTTTAATGCATCAACAGTAAAGCGTTCAGGTTGAGGAACTAAAAGTTCAGGTTTCACTACTTTTGTATTCTGCGAAGAAGAGGTTAGAAATAGCTATGTCTTAAAGTTTTACATTCTGCATTGCCAGACGACTAGCGACTGCTCATGGGGGAAGCTCTTTAATATGCACGCTAAACTCAGAGATGCTTTATTTTCTTAAGGGTGGTTCCTTTTGTTCTTTGAATTACGCAGTAGTAATTTGTTTTTTCCGTCAATTATTTACGCTATATGAGCAGCTGGAGAGTATCAATGCCCCAATACCTGTAAAACCCTTTCGTTTATCTTCATTGCTTATCCTTCCGTTTATCAACATAATGACTTTTACAGTTCCTCTGAGTGCTCACCTTGTAACCATCACTGATAAATCGATTCCTCCTGGTTTCCTTTAGCCATACTGAAAATCGCATGTAAATTTCAATACCTACCCTCGTTATGCAATTCGCTAACATATCAGGTCATAAATGTATGTGTTCCTAGTTTTTGTATGGATTCTGGAGCGTCTGCTTGCTTAACCTCACCTAGCGAGTGTATTGGCTGACTCTAAACTCTAGGACATTTGAATTCTGCCATCATTTTTTGTGAGTTCTTAGGTAGCATCGATTCTAAATGGGTGTAGATTTATTCTTGACTGGTTTCTAGTTACCAGTCGTTTATATATATTCAGGTGAACAGTTCGTTAATTATTTAGAAAGGTTGTTATTCATATCAGTTCTTGTTTGCTGTCTCCACTAATGATATCCTGAAAACTTCCAAGCACATAGTCACACTTAGGAATGTTGCATCAGGTAAAAAAAAGTATCTTGAAAATACTCCGGTAAAAAGAAATCCACAGTCATTTAACAGATTTCGGTACTGACTACAACTGTTGATCTTTGCCAGGGATGACCACAGTAACTGCCTGCATCATTGTGTGGGCCTCCTAGGTAGTCATTGATTTCATTTCTATACAGTTACAAAAACGATACCAGCAATAAGGGTTGGAGTAGTACTTTTGGGATGATGGGCCATTAAATTCACATGTATGTGAGTATTGGTTCCAGTTACATGAGGGTATGTGAGCTATCTGCTTGTGGTGTGTGATGACTGCGTATCAAACGCAATGATATGTTTACACTCATTGTTTTTGCTATCGAATATTGAGTGCATCAAATGACTTTGATATTCTCCCTAGCACGTTCCCTTCCCAAATCCCCGCTTTTGCTGTTTTCTGCAAGACTTGGTTCCTCCAACGACATTTCTGTGCAGTTGTGATCTCTGTTTTTCGTATATTTGTCTTGGATGACGAGCAGTATCATGTGATGCTGCCTTCTTTACTTGAAAGTAAAGGTCGGCCGCCACACTTCTTCCTGCTGTCCACTATACACTTCCATTGTTGGGCGTTAACGCAATGAAATCTCAACCCGGCATTCCCATAAAAACCGCTTGTAATAACTCTCAAATCAATGTCTCATTGGCTCTACGATCGCGCGAAGCTAATCATTTTTTTCATCCATATACGTTACAAAAACAACTTCCACAATATGTGCAGCGGGTAATTACTAACCGCCCGTATGCTTTCAGCAATATACAATCGAGTATAGCATATCATCCTTTCATTTATCTTCTCCCTTGCATTCACTTCGTGTACTATGCCTCCTACAACGTGTTCAACCTCTTAACCTACCATTGCTATCTATCCAAGCCAGCAATACGTTCTTTTCCCCCTAAAATTCCGCTGCCGATCATTACACTGTAGCTTTCAACGTCCAAACTTTGTGCTAATCGGACAGCTGATATTTCCTGGCAAAACTCCGGAATATCAAAACGCGGACGTATGTTGTTTCCCCGACATATACAAGACTTGAGTGTGGTTATTCACTTGACTGTGACGAATATTGAAGGCTGACCTAATTAGTGTCTGGAGATCCAATGGGCTCGATGGTTTAGCCATAGCATCAATTTCTAGAGCAGAAAGAGCGCTAAGGTAGATTACATAGCTACAACCCACCAATGGAGGATTATCACTGTTTCTGGAATACCCAACCACACTTAATAACGGACACGTTTGTTTGCGTCTTATTGGTCACAGTAAGCAGTGAAGCCTCTATACTCTCGACTGGAAGATGAGAAAGTCGTGTGCATTCAAGAAGGAAAAGATAGCTAAGCATTTATCTGAATATGGCAGCATCTCTTCTTGATAAAACCTGACATAATATTCAGTTTGCTGAAGAAACAGTAGTAGAAAACTGACCCATAGCAACACCACTTGGCCAGCATCCAGCCGGAACCGGAATGGGATATAGATGTTGGTCATTCGACTCTGCGAAGTTGACTAGGCTGTTTCAAACATGAAATGTAAATCAGCATTGTCTGACAGTTTGCCACCGCAAGCTTTTAAGGAAGAAGGTGAGAAATAACTGAGTAGGGTAATGGGGGTACTTTGTAGCGTATGGGAGTCAGGCTGGTCTACTTCACCGTTCGTTTCAGTCTATAAGAGGGGAGAGGTCTTCTTGTGACAACCGCAAGGACCATGTCGATCCTAGGGTCCGTAGTTATCTGACACCTAACAGGGGCTCAAAAACAGCAAACTCGGAAAGCCAGGCAGTTTTCAGGAGCGGACGAGGGTGCATCGGTCGGTTTTCCGCTCTTCGACTGCTTATAGAACACAGACATCCTTATCGACCCCGGACGCTTGCCATTTTTTTGGCCTGAAGGTGGCATTCGACTGTGTCGACTGAGAAGTATGAGAGTAATGCCTAACCAAGGAAGTACCGCGCGAGTATACTTTACTTATTAAAGCTCTCTGATTGAACCGACCCAAACGTGTAGTAGCTAGTGGAGATCCGTCATTTGAATTGACGACAACTACTGGTCATCCAGAGGTGTCTTTTGTCGCCGTTCCTGCATGACTTCGTTATAGATGTAATAATGGACTTATAACCCTCGTTAACCCCAAATTTACAACTTGGAGAGCATTTGGTTGACTTGAAGTACGTATTGTTTTGGTTAGACCTAGACACAAGCAAAAGGCAAGTTCTTCTGAGCGGCTTGAGCACAAATCGAAGTCCGGTATGCGCCTTTCAGCTATCAGTTGTAAGATGTTGCCCAAAATCTGGTCTGCAGCTATTCTCGACCGAAGGATAGGGGACGAATTGGTCTGTCTCGTTAGCCACTTCCGCCTGAACGGTTTTCGGCGAAATCTCACTTCGGATACAAAACACGTTTGGCGTTTTCCAATTTGCATTATCCCTGCGCCGACTAGCGATTAGAAGACGAGTATGCTGTACTGCACTTCAGCCTATTTTATTATACGGATGTGAGACATGACCGCTAAGAATGTACGATGTGCTGAGACTACAGGTTCTGAAACACAGGTATTTTCGTAGCGTTGCTCACGTCTTGTGGAACTATTATGTGTGATATCGAGGTTAAGCGAAAGGCACTCGGTAAGGCAGGCATGCCAGTCAGCGAAGTTGTGGACCTTCAGCGACTGAGGTGGCGCGAACATGTGTTGGACATGCCAAGCCGCAGCCTACCTCGACGTACAATGTCAGCCGAAGTAGGATTGGGTTAGAAGGCTCAGGGTTGTCAGACTAGTCCGTAAAGTCTCCAACTGTCAGTCTGAGTCATGTATGGAGGCGCAGACCGCCTGGTTGGGGTCAGCAAGACGATGGGAATAAATTGCTAGGGTCTCGACGTAGCAGAAAACCGGTCACAATGACAGACGTACTCACTTTTTGACGTCTTACAGAGTTTTCACATCTCACCGACCCTAATTTTTAGATTCTTCTTCCTCCCATACACCTTTGACATAACTTTCTATACCTACTTTGCTTGTTGTGAAATGTGGCAGCTCGAACCATTGCTTAGCGAGGTTCTAAGTTGATTTTAGCTGTCTAATTCCAAAAGCCATGTATTCTAACCACGTAGGAACACAGCATGCTGTTGGGTGGTAGTACTAAAACAGCAGTGCAACTAATAAGCGGCGTTCCTTAAGTTCATAGGAGTTACTCGGTACGGCGGTATGTCCTCGTCGGCTGCAGTATATCGACTTGGTTCGAAACGTGTTAGTCTGAAATAAAGGGTCTTGAGTTCTTGCGCAGCTGGTGTGTTTTCTCGTTGCAGAATAAACTCGTTGACTAGAAACCCAAATCAAGTTGGGATTTCATAGTTTGAAAAAATGTGGGCATCGAGTAAGTTATGTGCATTACTTTAATATCTGAATTCCCAATGAAATGTAATCAAATATGTAACCTTATCTATGATAGAGAGTACTTGTAGCTCGGGATGATAACCAAACTCCAGAAGTTTGTGCTGATGATCCCTAGAATGACAATGAAAGTTTTACGATTAAACCTTCCAGCTCAGAGATCATAACCTTATCTGTCCATTGTCTCATGAGACAAAAGAATAGAAAATGGGTAATGAACCCGTGAAATAATGGGTAGCGAGTTACAACTATATAGTGCATCACACAAGAGTACATGTCACCGAACTTCACAGTAGCCCAATAAATCAACAAATGTAAGTCAGCAAAGAAGTACGTAGTTGTATGCGAGGATGTAAATCACATATGAGGGCTTTCAATACCGTCAGTCGATCCAGACCTTGATACTTCGAATAGTTTCGATGCTATGACCCACCGTTTAAAAGTCAAATACCCAAACCAGTGAATTATAACTCAGTGTTTAGTGGGCAGCATGTCATTTAAAAATGACAAGGCAATGTTCGGGTCTTTCTTGATTAATATGTTGGATAGTCTCTTTCTTTTGTTATACAGGTATCCATGTCTTGAAAATTGCTTGCCTTGGAATCTACGCGTTCGCCTGGCTGTTTTGCGAATTTGTTTACGTTGTCGTTTAAAGTGTGGCGTGGAGCCATATCGTGTCCTGGTGCCATACAACAGTTGGCTGAATATGTCATGTGATCGAGAAAACCCACCCAGTATCCTGACATATCTATGCAGCGAAAAATGTCTGGCAATATTCAGGTCAAACACATGGAAGTATACTTTGGATTAGATAGAGCGTCAACCTTTACATAGAAGCAACAATCTCGTAGTTGATGACGCATTTTGTTCCTTGAATTTACAGTTGTATAATCGATCCGTGAACAGCGTTACATCTGAGTTTTCACTGATTATGGCTGTACTGAATACAAATCAATAAACCGTGTATTATATAATGAGTTGTGATTATGCTTTTTTAAAGATTAGCACAAGTAATTGGTTACTATAAAAATGTGGTTACAGATTGTCAAGCAGTAGCGACGTCTATAAAACAGAAGACTTTTGTAAATAACTTGTTAGTTTTTGCAATAAAACAAAATAATCAAGATTTTTGTACATTTGGATCAGATAAGTCGTTCAGTTCCCATATTGTTTTTGTCAAGATGTGACGCATTTTCTCCAGTTCCCCAGTCACTGCTAGGAGTCTTTTGATCACTTTTTCACGAGTTGCAATTAGTGGTTTCACATCTACACTCGTCTCTCGGTAGGGTGTAGCGGTGTCCGCGAATGGAATGAGATCTGACACATCAGTCGGAAGCAAACGATCACAGCTTTCTTTTACTACGCGAAATGCCTAATTCGGAAGACATGAGAAAATAAACATATGACAGACATACAGGCGGAAGGTTTATTTCTTAAAATTCAGATTCAAACTACTGGTGTAACAGATCCACGCAGAAAAAGTAACTGATGGACTCGACGAAATATTTTAGCTGAAGGATGACAAAGGACATTTAGAACGAAAGTTACACATTTTCACCCAGTAATATTCATCGCTGAGTTTTGATTGTATGACGTATAGACTTAGTGGCATTTCAGTGTTTCCGAGTGCTTATCGGTTAGACAAGTCCATAATTATGGCAACAATATATTTAACTCTTGAACAGTAGTAACCGCCTATTTATTGAAAAAAGTACGGATCTCTTCCTAATGGTACAATCATTCAGAGTACCAATCTGGGTTTTTGTATCTGCATTATGATTAGTAAAATCATCAGTGAAGGTGAGTACTTCATCTGCTAGTCAAAATTCGTATGTATTCAGGAAAACTGCTCTTGGTGCGCGTTAAATAGTATTCAGGTCTTTGGCTCAGCATATCAGAAATGCTATGGGGCCTGTGTCCATCTAACACACGGCTGATAACTCCTACTTTCGTGTCATGACCAGGCTTGCATATCACGAGCTATGCTGTTGGAACGCTTGTTCCTTAATGTCCCACCATACGAGGGAGACCAGTTGGATAATAGTTAAACAAAAGGCACTTATGGTGTAAATTGTTACGCTATGATAGAGGTCTGAGAGTGAAGCTGTACTGCTGTCTGGACAGATTTGTGACGGCAGTTACTCCCTAAACTTCTGCTGGTCAGTGTAGTGAGTCCGCGCAATTTGCCTTTTGTGTTTCTAAAGATTCGACACCTGGTTTTAGTGGTCTTGCGAGCAGGTATGGTGGATTAAGTACCACGGCAGGAAATGCACTGCTCGATGGATTCCAGTGAACAATCCGTGCGTTGTGCAGCTGAATGGTGCATTGAAGTCTAAAAAGAAACTGTTGCCTCTTTGTAATCTCTGCATAAGCACCCACTGACCGGAGTTTGTATGAGTTCTGATGAAAACTGCCTAGTCTCCTACTGAAAGCCAAACACTCAGATGTGGTTGTCATAGCGGGTGATTTCAATCCACACAAGGGCAGACTAAGTCAGGTAGAATAGCACTTCCTGAATCTTAGCTGGTGATCGTCTGATACACCTGTGCGCTACTAGACTCAGTCGACCGTTGTGTTGTGACAATATCAAATCAAAGCTCTTTTTAACCTCACACAGCTGCGCTTTAAGGCTTACGGAGAGTTGTCATCTGAATTGATGATAAATAGTGGTGTCCGACAGGAATGTCCACTGTCACTGTTCAATTCTGTTGTAAATGTACTGATGAACATAACCTTGGGTGCGTCTGGTCGACTTGGAGTACACAGACGACTGTTAAACTAAGACGAAGACAAAATGAAGGATATTCTGAACGACATGAGCAGAAATCTGGACATGTTTGGGATGAAAGCGAAAGTAAACTTGGAGACATGGAATGTCCGCACCATGTATGAACCTACTAAGGCTGCCCAGATTGCCAGAGATGAGGGTATGGTATAGAAGTGCTTGGAATCTGCGAAAGTAGATGGAATGGAAGTGGACTCTCCAAACTGTCAACTGGGAAGTCAATAATCTACTCCGACATTGTCACTCAGACGACAACCACGAGCACAGTAAACTGAGTTTTCAAGTGGCTATCATGAGGTCCCCAACATCATCGAAGGATCTCATGCAGTGGGAACCAATCTCCTCCACGATCATAACAGCGAGATTCAAATAGAAGGAAGGAAAGTCAAAAACATCCAATGTTACGCCATGTACCTACAAATAATGCAGACGAAGAGAAGGAGGAACTCGACAGACAACTGAAATCAGTACTGAACAAGACCCCACCACAGATGGCGACATCAAAATTCTAATGGGTGGGTGCTATCAATGCCAAACTGGGAGCGGATAACACAGGAAGAGAGCCAATAATGGGTCGAGAAGCACTCGGTAAAATGATGAACGAGAATGGAGAACTGCTTGTAGACCTCTGTGAATTCAACGATTTGGTGATTGGAGACAATGTACAAAGAAGGATATTCACAAAGCGACAAGGATTTCACCAGACACACTAAAAATCAGATCGACTTCATCTAATGTGAAGAAGGTGGAGACGCAGCCTATTGGACACAAGATCTAGAAGGGGAGTATACGTAGGTTCACACCACTCACTATCTAGTGCAAGAAACCTACCTTCAAAATCAAGTTGAAAGCCTTCACAGAAGTCGGTGATAGGCCACAATTCAAGTTCAACACTCAGAACAGAAACTGAGCTGAAGGATGAAACTACAAGGAACATCTACAAGTCAGCCATCAGGACAAAATGGGAGACATTGAGCAACATCCCTGAAGAAACCTGTGTGGAAGAACACTGGAACTCTTTGAAAGAGATGTAGAAAGAAACCTGCATAACCGTATCAAGAAGAAGCAAGACAAGGAATGGATCTCGGTGGACACATGGAAGCTGATAGACAAGGGAAAGATGGTGAGGCAGAAGAAAAACGAGTGCAAGGATGAACAACGAAAAGAGGAACTGAACACAACCTATAAAACACTGGACAAAGAAGTGAAGAGGAGTGCATGGAAAGACAAAAGACATTTCTACGACACGAAAGTGAAGCAGAACAGGCTGCTGGTAGGAGAGACGTGACAAAATTATATCAAATAACCAGGTTACTATCTGGTAAGAGATCAATGCAGATGAAACCACTGATAGTGAAGGAAACCTAGTTACCAAAGAGGAGGAACAAAGGAAACAATGGGCCGACCACTTCAGAAAGCTCTAGAATCGACCAGTACCTGCAACTCGTCCAGAAATACCACCAGCAACCGCAGAACTATCAGTGAACACAAGCCCTCCGACAAAAGTAGAAGTCTTGAACGCCATTAAGTTGCTGGAAGCCGGGAAAGCAGCAGGACCAGATGGAATTCCTCCAGATGCACTGAAAACAGACGCAGAGACAACAACAGACGTGCTCACACTACTACTGCAGAAGGTTTGGAAGGAAAGGTACCCGCCGATTGGAAAAGGGCTACCTGGTCAAACTCCCAAAGAAGGGAGACCTAAGTCTTTGCAAGAACTGGAGCGGAATTATGCTCCTGTCCACCCAAAGCAAGCAGAATATTATGCCATATCATGCTGGAGAGACTAAAAAGTGCTCTCCATTCAAAATTACAACCGGGACAAGCTGGATTCTGGAAGAACAAATCATGTGGGGAGCAAATTGCAACGTTACATTTCGCGTCGTCATAGAACAGAGAATACAATGGCAGTCAACTCTCTACCTCAACTTCATCGACTTTGAAAACGCCTTCAATAGCATCAACCGAGAAGTACTTTGACTGGCAGCTGCTTTAACGCTATGGAATACCACAAACCTTTATCAATCTCATTCAACAGCTATATAAAGACGCCACATGCCAAATGATTCACAGTGGTAAGCTCAGTGACACCTTTGAAGTGGGGACAGGAGTACGACAAGGCTGCCACCTACTATCACCCATGATATTTCTGATTGTAATCGACTGTATCATGCAGCAAGCAGTGTGGAGCGAGAAGAGGAGCATACGCTGCTTGACCAATGAAAAGACCCTAGAAGATTTAGATTTCTCCGATGATGATTTGTGTCTAATGTCGCACAAACTCGAAGATCTACAGGCAAAAACCAATAAGTTGATAGAAGAGGCAGAGAAGATGGGACTTCAAGTGAATGTAGAGAAGACAAGCGATGAAGATACCCAACCAACAACAATAAACACTGATCACCATCAACAAGATAAATCTAAACGAAGTTGTCTATTTCACCTACCTACATAGGCAGCATCGTTTTAACTACAGGCGGCAAAGATGAGGATGTCAAAGCCAGGATCGGAAACACAGCAAAACAGGCGTTCATTAGACTGAAATCAGTGTGGAGATCTGCACTCAGCATACAACGTACACAATATCCAGATTTTTAACACCAACGTCAAGTCAGTGCTGCTATATGGTTCAGAAACTTGCCGCGTCACGGAAAGCATTTAAAATAAACTACAGATAATCATGAACAGCTGCCTACGCTCGTTACTGAAGATAAGATGGCCAGAAAGAATGAGCAACAAGGAACTCTGGGAACAAACCAACGAAGCAAGAACCTATCGCGCAACAAATATGCAGAAGAAAGTGGAGATAGATCGGGAATACACTGGGAAAGCTATTCGGAGACACCATGCGCTAGGCCAGTTCCTCGAGTGGGACCCAAATGGGAAACGCCGAGTTGGGCGTCCGAGGGTGACATGGATGAGATCATGTGAGGAAGAAATGAAAGCTTGTGGGCCGTCGTGGGGCCAGGTTAAAAAGACTCCAGAGAACAGAGTGCAGTGGAGACGTGCTACTGAAGCCCTATGTCCCACTAGGAACCCGAGAGACAAATAAATAATAATGGGACGGGTTTCACCGGCATCTGTCAAATATAAGATGACATCCTAAGACTGGTCTGCAACTACTTCGTTTAATGGTAGGGAGTGGAGTGGTTGAGTGCGTTGGCCACTTCACTTACTTAGGAGTCGGGTCAGACCGGACAGGCTGGTTGCTAACGAAATCCGTTCGGCATTTACCAACTTGCATCATCTGTGACAACGACTGTCAAGACATCCCACTATCTATAAAAAGACGAGTATAATGGTCTGAAGACCGTTCTGTCCTGTTGGACGACTGAGGCATGGCCCTAAAAAATAGACACGAAGCGGTTGTAGGGTTTTGATCACAGATGTCTTCGTAGCATTGCTCGTGTTTGGTGGAATCACCGTGTGAGCAATGTTGAGGTCGGGCGAAGGGTACTAAGCAAGACAGGCAAGTTGACTAATGAGGTTGTGAACCTTAGTCGGCTGAGATGGCTTGGACACTTACTGCGCATGCCGATCCACCGGCGTGCCATGCTAGATGTTGGAAGAGGGTTCAGGGAGGCCAAACCAAGACATTGCATCAGTCCATGAATTCTGACTGGTCCTAACCGTGTCGAGGGGTGAAGACCATGTCGATAGGGTGTGGCGGATCACAGGAACCAATGGTTGAAGACCCTTAGTGACATGACTGGGAACCAGCCACAATGGCGTAGATGTACTCACTTAGTGATATCTTCCAGAGCTCGAATGTTTTCACTAACGCTCATTTTCAAAATCTTTTACCCATACATCTTTATCTACTTTGGTATTAATCTTTTCTTAACCACTTGTTGTTTGTATGCTATTGTGAAGTGTAACAACTTGAATCGATGCAGTTGTGTGCGAGGTTTTATATGGATTTTGTCCATTTGTGTTTTTATGGCCAGCCATTGCAGCTACCTCATGTGTTGGTATGTTTCTGGAAACTACTCTAGTGATCTAAACTAATAATTTCACGGTAATGTATGGTACCGTTAAAATTCATAAACCAGATTATCCTACTAGGCCGACAACTGACTGCAGAAATATCAACATATGGCTGCAATATCATGTTCGATTAGAAATCACGCAGTCTAGCTTTGGTTTGAAACAGAGACTAAATAATACACAATAAGAACGAAGAAAATAATGTTTTGATGTGAAGAGCCACTAAGAAAATATATCACTTTATATGGCGCTTGAAGCAGTCAAAAATGAGCTCGCTAGTGACGATGAACTTAGTTTTCGATTGAAAAAACTATGCTAGCGATACAGTTGTGTCTGACTCTCACGGTCTTCAAGTTTTGAGAAAAAACATAACAAACAATCAAAGTAGCGATGCGGTCGCTAAAACTTCCTACGTAGTAGACACATTGTGGATAGTTTGAAACAAATGGCATTCGCAACAATCCAACCCACCCCAAAAGTATGGTGACGATATGTAGATGATACACTTACTGGGTTGAAACCAGAACTTATCTAGAGTTTTCTCACAAAAGCCCGATGGCAGATGCGATCCAAGTCTTTTAAAAATTAGAAAATGAAGGAGAATCATATACCTTGGATTGAGAAATTAAGAGATAGCAATTTAGACACAACACTCGAGTAGATACATGAATTTCAAATCGTAAAGGTAAGCTTCGTAAATTGCTGGAGTATTCGAGTTAGGAGTGACTTGTAAATAAGAAAATCTAAGCAATCTATAAAGTATCTTTTTACGACTATAAGATCATGTACAGGAATAGAAGTGGCTGACCAGGATCAGTCGGGATAGCAGAACACAAAAGTTTGGAGAAAGATGGAGTGATAGATCCCACTGAGATTAGTAATTTAGAGAAAAACTTCGTTGTCGTTCTGTACACACTGACCCACAATCAGACTACTGGGTGGGATAGGGTGGAAATTATAAAATGCAATATAGCTAGTTGTAGGGAGAGATTGATTACAGGATCTTTGTTCATTGAATCAATACCTAACACATGAGACAAGAACGATTCATCACACATTTAGGAAATTGTACTACTACAAGCAGAAAGGCACTTAGGTGGCACTTTCGGAGTCCCAACTGAACGAACAGATAACAGTGATCACCTACTACTATAACTGTGCTCACATAACCGTTTGTTTCTAGCTAGCACAAACTTCATACATAAAGAAAGACATTGAGGTGGCTTCCACCAAGCTCAACTCAGTGATGGACACAGACCAAATTGCCATCAGTCATCACTGGAATGGGTCGGTGGGAGACTGCCGCTCCTTCTGGAGAACGTGTTTAGATAGTGACCACGCGTTGGTTCGATTGTGTGTGTCTGTATCTTGATGGACGTAGGAAAACTATAGCAACAAGACTATTACAAGTGCAGCTTGACAATGAGAAACCAGCTAGGCAGTTGTCCGAACAGAATACTATCACCCATCCAGAAGCTTGGTTGTATCTCCAGACTGCTGCGAAAAGTGTTGAAGACCGTAGCCAACTCTCAGAGTGGTTAAAAAGCCCCAGTGGATATCAGCCACTCCTGAATTAATGTATGCACGCGAACGCATCTCTCCAGGTTCCGAGTACGATGAGGAGCTAACGCAACTCAAATGTAGACTGACAAAAAGTCTACGCAATGACCGCGAACAGTGGTGGACAGCGAAGGCTTAAGAGATGGAGAAGGCAGCAGCAGACAGTTATTTAGACTTATCAGGGAAACTGGGGGAAGACGTCAAAGGTTAGTGAGACTACAGCGAAGAAAGATGGTGGTGTTTGTCAAGGATGCCCACCTTCTCCATTCCAGTTCACCTTTGTCATAAACCTATTGAAGTCTCCCTCTCGTCATCTGACATCATAGGAATTGATCTAATCATAGGGGAATCCAAGGTTGATCTCGAATACGCAAATGACATAGCTTTACTAGGTGAAGATGTAGTCTTATGGACACAAAGTGGCAATTTGAGAATGTTTGAGACGCGTTTCTCGCCACCAATATGAATTGTTGCTCCAGGAATGGTCTTCAGAAGTGCCTTGTCTTACGATAGAGAGTGAAGCGGTTGAGTGCGTTGACGAGTTTACTTACCCAGGAAGTTGGATAAGTCCTTGTGGGTTAGTGGCCGACGAAATTTCGGCACGGAAACAAAAGACTCGATTGGTTTTCGCCAATTTGTGCCACTTGTAACACTGCCACGATATAGGATTGTCTATTAAGGGTCGGGCGTGCTGTGCTTCAGTTCGCTCTGCTCTACTATATGGCTGTGAAACATGGCCATTAAAGGGATAGAACATAAGTAGGTTTCTGGTGTTTGACTACCGGCGCTTTTGTAGCATGGACCGTGTATAGTGGTTTCACTACGTAAAGGGGTAGAGAAAAATCCGTCGATGGGGTTGTGAACCCTTATCAACTGAGACATGTGTCACGCATGCGGAATCATCGTTTTCCCTGTCGCATAATGTTGGCTGAAGTAGGTTCAGGCTGGCAAAATGCTTGGGGTTGCCGGACAGAGATATAGTATCAATGCATGAAATCCTTGACTGTTGGTTTGTGCCATGTTGAGGGATGCATACTGGGTGGTTGAGGTACGTGTGACAACAGAAACCAGTGGTTGGAAATTCAAGGTGATATGGTTCAGAAACGATGTCAGCGGCGCAGATGTATCCAAACGTTATCTTCATCTTAAACAATATAACAAATTCGGTATTTCCTCATTTCTCCTTCCTTTCTTTTACTGCTTTAGACCGATTTTCCTTCATCTTTCATCCCACTGCTTTATTACTTGGTGTCCTGGTGTGGTGTAACAACTTGGACCATTGTGCATAATGCCTGGTCCTATGTTGATATTAATTGAAATTACCCATGTTTTACTCTCAATACCGTACATAATGTACCTAAAATGTGACGCAGTATAACATGATATATGGTATTTTTATCTAGATATCAAGCTCAGGAAGTGATAGCTCAATATTCCTTACTTATTTAATAACCGTAAATAAACAGCAGTTCACTAATTCCGAGATGATGCAGGAAAACATACAACACACGATAACAGAAAGATGGCACTTTTAAGATGTTTAGGAGCCAACAATAAATCCGGAAGAATACAAAAACATCAATTTGTCAACTATGTACAAACCAGTTTGCAGGCTGGCACGTACAAATAATTAGTGACACAAAGTAGTTGATAGAAATGTCCATGAACGGAACGACAGCAGGAACGATGTTGGCTCACTGAGTTAATCGGACTATTATAAGTCAAGGTGTTTATAATTAATAGTAGCGTCGGTCAAGAGAATCACACTTAGTGGAATGAACCTCGGCTCTAAGACTAGAATTTGATGTCATCAGCCAAAGCGCTCTTCATTCTGCTGCCATTTCAGTTCCTTACTTGTGAACACAACGCATGAAAAATCACTCGGATAACCCTAAATTACGTGAAAAAGTTTGCGAAGAGACGCTGATGGAATTCTATACATTACTACATACTTTGAATTCACATCAGTGTCATCAAACAAATCAATGCGAAAGCCGAAAATTATGCACACCGAATATCCAATTAGATATACACTTGAAATCTTTACCTGTTTCAAGAGCTCTTTGTTGCTTTTCATTTGCTTCAGAGTCTCAACACATTGAGGTCCGGCAATAGATGTTTGGTGGGTGCTCATACCCCTGGTTTTGGGATCCATACATGCATAAAACAGCAACATGAGGTCTCTCAGCCCACTAAGTAAGTCTTGCAAAGCTTCCTGACCGCATCTTGACGCATATATTGGATTTGAAAGATCCTTTGTAAATATGCGACTGTCGTTTGCCTCCTGAAATAAAAATAACAACTCTCGAATTCATAAATCAGAGTAAGGTAAAAGACAAAAATATGCTGAATAACGTTTATTCTTTGTGAAGTGGACTGCCCTTTGTACTAAGAACGTCAACATAGTAACCATGTCTTCGAGCGAAATGTAACCGGTTTTGTATCTTCTTTTCCGGATCCCAGGCTTCTGAACGGATTCTCCAAAATTCAAATAGCTCCTGTAGTTTCCTTTCCTCCTTTTTTTCCCTCATCATTCGAAGTTTCCGCACCAATATTTCATGGCGCTTGAGTAATCTCTTTTTTTGATGGTTTTTCATTTTTCGCCTCCGGTTCTGAATGTCATTCTTCAATTCTACGTGAACCAAACCATTTGACGATGGCAATATAAACGGTGGATTAGATTCAACTATCCCAAAATAGTCCGAAACTTCAAACATATTTCTACATGTTTTAATTGGCACAGATATACTTTGTATGATAGATTTTGTTTCGAAAACATTAGGTGGAATATTAAGTAGGTTATGTGTAGAGCCTGAGAACTCCAGCTCCTTTGCTGTGCAGTGTTTGAAACTAGGATAGTTGTACACTAGCCTTGATATTTGTTTTATTAACCTAAAAGGCTGAGGTAAACATAATTCCTAAATTAGAAGGCGTATAACACATACCTTCAGCATTGCAACACCAAATACTTGTTAACCGCCTATAATTAATATTCAATGTCCCTAATTCGAGTGCAGCAAATAGACAGCTTTTAACTTAGCTATGTCAGTTTTGAATCTAAAATCTCCTTTTTCGGTACTAGCGCTTCACTGGGTGGTTTCGAATTGTTCTACGATTCAAATTGTAGAATTAATGAACGGTCGTTCCCAGTTCGTGACACGATAGAGGAAGCTCTCACTTCACCGGCTCCCACATCTGTAGACAGTTTGAAACCAGTTTCTACACATGAGACGTGGATTTAGGGAAAAAGTAGAACGTAAAAAGCGGTTGATAATGTGATTTGTCGGCTCGTATTCGGACCCTAACAGGATACTGAGTTTGTCTTTTTAGGGGTCTGATGATGTAGCTGCTAAGAGTTCTACAGAGACAACATTTCAAGATCAAGCGGTCCTTAAGAGATCAGTTTTATGCCTTTCGTCCATTCTGATATAAGCCATATCCGATACCTTGAGGCCCTTGGGAATATTGATGATGTGACTGTCTTCAGATTGACAACCGTTTTGTTGTGGCAAGTAGCCACCCAACCCCATCTACTTGTAGCGTGACACACTTCTCCAGAATCAATAGCCTAGGGTTCGGCAAGGTTCAGTATTGATGCTGACCTTGATAATTTAACAGGACTCGCTAAGCTGAAGGCACCCGATCAAGCGTCCTCGCCACTTGGCACACTGTCGTGTTACGTTGCACTGCTCGTAATCGACCCTGTAGCCATTTAGTTGGGACTCATCGGTATCCTGGCCCGACCTCGCAAACATACTACTCCAACCGACTACGCTATTGTGTTCTTTCTTGGTCTCGTATTTGTGGGTATGTTAGAAGTACGAATGATTAGTGATTAGCCTTTGCGCCTGTCCATTTAGCACCGGACAGTTCCTAAATTGGTGAGCCTGGCGTGTTAACAAATTCCACCTAAGAGCATATCTTAAATTGTTGAGCCTGTTCCATACTATACTTGTACATTGTTTTCATTTTGATAATCTTTATATCCATACACAACTCCTTCCCATGTCCGACCATACTGCTAAGCTTATCCGTATTAAGGCGGCGACGAAAACTATCCAACTCGTGCCATACTGGCCAGACAAAGCAAAAACATGGTTTCTGTACGTCGAGGTTAATTTTCGAGAACAGGGAGTCGCAGATCCTCTTTTTAGATTTCTCGCTGTCACATGTTCACTACCGTGGAAATCAAGCAGGCATGTCACGGCGCATATGTTTGGCCCTAAACTACGTGATCTCTATGCACTTCTCAAAGCGTCACTACTGAAGAACAGTGATCTCACAAACCACCAGCGCCTGGACGAATCCCTTCATAACGTCGAGCTAGGCAGCAACTCAACCGCTGAAGTCCTCACACGAATGCAAGAAGTTATGGGCACACGGGCGTTCGATAACGGCCTTTTCCGAGATCTGTTTCTCCTAAAACTACCATAACTGGTGCAAACCACGTTAGCGACACTTCAGTCAGTTCCACTCGATGACCTAGCAGCCTCAGCAGATAAAGTACTGGAGATCTCTAGCAGGCCTGTCTCCAGAGTATGTTCTGTCTGCGATAAATCGCGGATCCAGGATCCCGAAGTGACCAAGCTGTGCAACTTTTTTAAACAGCCGCCAGGGGCTCGAAGCCGTGGGTAACGTAGCACATCACAGAAACGCATCGCAGCAGCTGGCGTGGTTATCCAAAAACTAAACCCTAAAGGGTGAAAATCCCTAAGTGGCCCTCCTTTCAGAAAACCTGCGGAGGCGAAGTCAGCGATTGTCGTGAGCCGTGCAGTTTCGACATGGACACAAACTCGGGAAACGGTCACGTCAGCGGAAACAGCCGCTTGCTTTGTGTCGCCGATATGAGGACGAAAGTTCGCTACCATGTCGACACCGGTGCAGAAGTTAGCGTTTTTCCGGCACCGAAAAAGGGGCGTCATCATGACCCATCCTTCAATCTTCAAGCAGCCAACGACAAGGCAATCGCGACATTCGGGAGATGGTATGCCTACCTCAACTTAGGTTTACATAAACCCACTCACTGGATTTTCCTCCTGGCTGACGTTCCTATGCCCATCATTGGCATAGACTTGCTAAACCATTACGATTTACTCATAGATGCTCGCCGTCGACAACCGATAGATAACAACACAAATCTATCTAATGGCGGCACAACCTATGTAGGTCCGGGTTTAGCCATCTTTGGAACCAAACAACCAGGCGACGCGTCCTACCAAGCAGTGTTAGAGAAATATCCAGAGTTACAGCAGCCAACGCACGCTCTTCCGTGCACAACCAGCAGTGCTATGCATCACGTCACGAACACGGGTCTATCTGTAGCATCCCAAGGGCACCATCTAGCCCCTGAAAAGCTCAAAACGGAGAAAAGTGAATTTGACCATGCGCTCGAGCTGAAGATTACCAAACCTTCAAGCAGTCCTTGGGTATGACCATTGCATATGGTTCCCAAACGGGATGGCAACGACTGGCGTCCGAACGGTGATTAACGAAGGCATAACGCAAAAACAAAACCGGACTGTTTTACACGTTTTTAATCCTCTTACTTGTACATCGTTCTCATAAACGCGAGGTCCGCCCTTAGCAAACTATCGGTATTAAGAGGAATCGCGCTCATATATAAGCCGCCGGTAATATTTATCACTGAGTCTTGGTGTCACGCAAATATACCAGATGAAGAGATAAGTACTGACATGTATGCACAATTCCGATGTGACTGGAGTGACAAGAGAGGAGCAGGTTGCCTGACGTACTTCCTCAGCACTCTCACTGTATTCAAGTTGGAAAGTATGGTTCTTGATGAAGTGAGTGACCCTCTATGGGTCGCAGTACACTACATGAATGTTACAGCACTGTGAGATGTGTATACGGAGCACCTGGTACCTTTAACAATCATGAGATTCCGTTGATTACGGCTCTGGAACATGCATCCACTCTTCCATATGATCATATGCGGTGACTTTGACCTACCTGAAATCGATTGGGATCCACTACTGGTCCGGCTGGGTATGACGACTTTTTCCATACACTGTCTATTTTTGGATGGAAGCAAATTGTTACAACTCCCACAAGAGGTGACAATGTATTGGACTCAAAATTTTGCCATAACATAGTTCTTATTTTGACAAATGTAGGCCTCAAGTTCCCAGGAAGTGACCAAAAAACAGTATTATGCGCACTACCACTTCCTGCAACTAGTACTTCAACTGGTACTTCCACTGCACACTAAATAGTATGTAGGGAATACGATAGGATGGATTGGCAGCAGATACGTCCAATGATTAGGTGTTGTAAACAGGCGCGCTAGCTGGGGATCATTCTTCACCACTAAAGACCTCAAATTTATCATTGATATGCCTCACCACAGCTCTAAACTCTGTCTCGATACCATCGTCCCATTGAAACGTTTCAAAGAAAGGCCACTAAACAATAAGCCTTATACACCTCCCAATGCTCGTAGAAAGTTACGCAAACTCTCAACAAGATACTACAGACACCACGATGTCGAGGCACTTCGGTTGATTCTTGGTATTCTTAACTCCATCCCGCATAACCATGATTTGCGTTTGAAGAATGAAGAGAGTCGTGCACTAGCTAGCTCATCTGGAGAATATGCTCTCTTAGCACTCCTTAAGAAGCGATCGAATTGCACAAGACATAACATTCCTCTTCTTATCCATGACACCAAGGCTTATAATGATCCAGTGGATATGTGTGAAGTATTCAGCGACTTATTTGCAGTTAGTTATCTGGAACCCACAAGTTTTTCGTGTGAAACTAGTGCGGTCTGCACTTTTAAAACCTATTCTTCTCCTCAACTAACGACAATAGACGCAGTTGAATTCACGTACTCTAATATTCACGAAGCCATTAGGGTGCTGGAATGCACCGACAGCGCTGGCACTGATGGAATAGCATCACATATCTTTAGGTTTGGTGAACCTGATATTCCATTATTATTACTTGAAATATTTTCTCTCCCTTTGGAATCTTTCACGTACTCTAATATATGGAAAACATCATTTATTCTCCCTAGATATAAATCTGGTTCAAAGACACTGGCCAGTAACTACAGACCAATAAATATTACGCCTGTAGTTTCTAGAATTATGGAGAAAGTTATCAAAGAAGGCATTCTCCATCGCGTGCTTAGTGGCAACATCATCACATCGAGTCAATATGGGTTCCTAAAATCGAGGTCCTGTATAATCTGCCATCTTGACTTCTCTAGCTTCATAACAACCATGCGCGACCGACACCAATTAGTCCTTGTACTCCATCTAGACATTTCAAAAGGCATTCGACAGAGTCGATCACTTGCTGTTGATAAGTAAGTTGATGACTATGGGAACTGACCATCCACTATTGGGATGGATTAAGTCTTTCCTCAGTAACCGCACTCAAGTGGTGAAGGTAGATTCACACACTTCAAAACGTAGGCCAACCGTCTCGTGTTACTCAAGGTAGTGTATTAGGCCCCCTTCTCTTTACTTTGTGCGTCAATGACGTCTGCAGCTGCTTTACATACGGTGAGTCATTCTTGTATGCTGAGGCAAATGTGGCCGGTTATGTTTTGGTGCTCCATCGGTGGAGATCCAACTACATCTTCAGTCTGAGAAACTTCCTGTTCTTAAAAGTGTATGTGACCCCGGACTAAGATATTCAAGGGACCTCACATTTTCTGAACAGGTAGCATCACAGACTAGCAAATCTGGGATCCTGATAGTTGCATAGTTAGTAACTTCCACTTCAAAGAAGTCAAGTTGCTACTCTACAAAACTTGCGTACGTCCACTGTTAGAATACTGTCCATTTGTACTGAGTGGTATCCGCATAATAGACAAACATAAAATAGAGGGTGTCCAAAGGTATTTCACAGCTAGATTGTTAGGACATGATTGCAAACAGGACTACAGCACCAGATGCAGAACACTAAGTCTAGAAACACTTTGGAT